GTGCTGGTGCGGGCGCGGGGAGCGCGGCATGCAGTGCGAGCGCCAGGATGCGAGCTCGGGCGCGTGGGCGCTTCGGGGTGGCCGGGGCAGTCCTTTCGCAGATCTGGCGCGTTTCGCGCGTCCTGCGGAGGTGCCTGCCTCACTGCGGCTGTGACAGTCGCTGGATCTCGTTGCCCGGGCTGAGTTGGTGGTGGCGGTGCGGTGGCGGTCGGCGGATGCGGGTGGGCTCTCCTTCAAGCATGTTCACGTCCATCTCCTGGAGTAGCGGCGCCGTACATCGGCTGTAGCGCAGAGGAGGTTCTCAAGCACACCAATTCCGGCTCGGCTGGTCTTGTCGTTGCGCGCGGCAGTGCGGACGCAGTCAGTTTGATTTGGTGTTCGTCCAGTCACGGCGCGCGGCGGTGCTGCCGGCCAGCTCCGGTTCTAACTCGGCTCTTCCTGTGCGTTGCGGTGCGGTTCCTCGCCCAGATCTGCGCACGGAGGCTGAGGATGGCCGGATCTGGTTTGGCGCCCAGGCCTGCGCGCGGCGGGGCGGCCCAGCCAGGTTGGCTCGTGTTCGTCAAGTTTCCACGTGCGGCGGTGACAAGTCTGTTCCTGGTAGTGTGTGCATGGCCTTTTTCTTCATGGCAGCTCTGGTTGGCCTCGGATCCATGTTTGTTGGTGGAAGACTCGGCTTCGGATGAAAGTCCTGCACTGTTCTGGTCAGTGCCGACGGTAACGGCGCCTACGGGTGTCGTCTTCCTCCTTGGAGGTACCGTTGTGGAGCTCGTTTTGCTCTTCGTACCTCATGGCTTGTGGTCTCCGGGTGAAAACCTAAGATTTGGCTAGTCCAGATCGAAGGACGGTGTTGTCTTCGATATCACTCCCTCCTTGGAGGCGTCCCCTTGGAGGCCCAGCGATGGTTCCCGATGGTGTACATGGGTTGTCGGTGGAGCTTGGGTTTGTGGTGGTGCCGGCCTTTTTTCTTTCTTTTCTTTTTGCACTAGTCTTTTGTTGTGCTTTCCTCCTCGGAGGGTTCTTATAACGCTTCTTTTGATTAATGAATTTGCCAGCTCTACTGCTAACATTCAAAAAAATTGACTGACACAACAAATAAATTCAGGCAGCTGAGCCACAGGTGCTCCCAGTACTACTACCAAAAAGGCAGCCTCTTCTTGGTAAGGTGGTTATGTATCTGACCATGTGACACATGTGGTAAGCAATCTAAAAAATTCAAAAAAAAAGATGAATATGTATTTGCGCGTGTGAATATGTGTGTGGTTGTGAAATCTTTTTTTAGGGAAGTGTGGTTGTGAACTTATGCCATGTGCAATGGGGACCCTTAACGCACACAAAAACAAGCCAAAAGTCGTGTGAAACTTTATTATACATTCCGAATAGTTGGGTTTCTTTTTTCCAAAGAGAAAGGCAAGGCCTCCCGGCTCCGCTCAGATAAATGCCATTCGTTGTCTTGTGGACCATTCGTACTTTGTTCATCCTCCTCAAAGATCAGAGTTTATTATTGCTCCACTAACTGTTTTTACATTGAACATATAAAGGATGAGGGAATGCGCTCAACTAGCGGCTATGGCCACGTCTTTTTTTGCATCTATAAATAGTGGGAGGAAGGGATAAGCCATGAGCGCTGCGTTCGGCTGGATAAGCCCCGAGCGCTCTCTTCCCCCTTTCCTCTCCCTCGTGCTCTCCTTTCCTCGCCGCCTCCTCTCCTCGTCGAACCAGCCGCCTCCTCCCCATCTTCACGCGCAGCCTCCTCTCCCTCAAGCCCCTCCTCCTTCCCACCCGGGCTTCGCCTCTTCGGGCGGCGGGACGCAGTGGCTGTGGTGATGGCAGATGGGGCGACAACGGCGGCGCTCCTCCTCTGCCATGGCCGAGGACGGCGGTGAGGGGCAAAGGGCGCTGTCGTTCTCCCCCCTCAGCGCGTGAGTCAGAGACGGACGAGGAGGCCGAGCAGTCCGTCATGCCGTCAACGCAGTCCTCGCCTGCCAAGGTCTGGATCCTCCTCCCCATTCCCTCATGGCGGCGCCTGGATCCTCCTCCCTCTTCCCTTCCATGGCGGCACACGGACCTGCCGCATCTTCCTCATCGTCAGTCCGAGGAAGAGGAGTGGCAGCAGCCAGACGCGCCTCGTCCGTGTCGCGTTGTGGCCCAGATGCGTCCACCACGTGCTTTGCGGTGCCCGTCTCGCCCGTCTACGGCCGGAGAAGGAGGGGAGGACTGGATGCCAGCCGATCTGGAGGAAGAAGCGGAGACGCGGACCTCGCCTTCCTATTGAATTGCTTTTGTTTGTACAACATGGATTTTTCAAAATTAGTTGCTTACATTGTGAATAATTCTATTAACTTTTAGTTCAAAAGAATCTGCCGCAGTGTTAAGAGTTCTTTGTGATGTTGCATGATGTTCTGATTTTGAACTTGAACGTGCTAACTGAATTTTGCAGTGCAAACTGAACTTTTCAAATTAACTGAATTAACTAAAGTTTATGGATTTCTCGAAAAGGTAAAGCACTACCTCAGTATTTCTGTGTTAGAGGGTGCCCCTGTTGTTTCTTGGTATCATTACTAGCAAGTGCCATATGAGGTGTGTGTGCCTTGCCTGCCATCATGATTCCTGAGGTGTGTGTTTACCTTTGTTTCAAGAAGGTAAACCACACAAAGGGAATCTATGTACCATAAAAAAGAGGATGTGCATGTGTCTTGTAGGGTTGATGGATTGATTGAGCACCACACAAAGTAAGTAGTTTGGGGAAAAGAATGATGTTGGACTACTAAAATCAAAGAAAATATTCCATGAATTTTGACACTGGAATGGCTTGTAAATGGTGCAGTGCCATCTTGTCTCTAGAACAGCTTAAAAATGGTGTGCAGAGGTTTCTTAGTTCTTGTACTGCACCCCATTTTTTAGAAATTGAAACTACTCCAGTGTCCAGTGTTAGCTAAGAGCTAAGATGAGTACAAGAATTTTCTGTAGAGATTGTTGCAAGGAGACATCTCTATCCAGTGTTAGCTAAGAGCTAAGATGAGTACAAGAATTTTCTGTAGAGATTGTTGCAAGGAGACATCTCTGTCCAGTGTTAGCTAAATTTTATTGGTCTCGGCATTGGTCTATCTATGCATTGATCTCACATCTTATTTTCAGAACATTTGAGTACTCTTCAAATATGCATGCACTGCATATTTTCAGTGATAGTCTGAAAATATGCATACACTGTACAGCAGCATATTGAAAACACTCAGGTTTTAGTATAACTGAATTTTCTGTTACATACACTCTGCACTTCTTCTATAGCTAAATTTTCTGTTACATACACTCTGCACTTCTGCTTTAACTGAATTTATTTTTCAGGTTTTGTACATCAACCTACTGAAAACATTCAGTTATTGACAAATCATGACATTACAATCTGACAAATCATGCATGCAAAATCTGACCAAGTGTAAAAGCTTGTCAAAGCTCTCATTCCTTGTTATGTTATAAACTGAATGCCAAAATAGATTTCTCAATGTACAAATTGTTTGCACTTTCCGAGCACTGAAATCTGTATATTTTAGATAAAGTAGCATTTGCCAGTAGAAGTCATGGTTGGATCAACATATTTTTCCACTGAAATCCCTTTTTAATGCAAGTTTACTGCTACTCGGAGTTCCTAATTGCAGACTCAACTATCTTGACCTACCGATGATCTAATTTGTGGCATTATTACCTTAAAAAAATATTTTCATTTAATTTCCTTTATATATATAGGGGTATAAGTTCTTACCAAATGTACTCAAATATATAGTTACTGAAAAAAATGCAAATATTTTCAACACGAACATGGTTTTAAACGGGTCTTTGCGCCATGTGGCGCAACTGGTCATCTAGTTCAGCTAACAGAAGCTGCCCTTTGAAATGTGGTGTTGTCCTAAAAAAATGATGAAGTTCTCTGTTTCTAAATGTTTCGTTTTCAGACCCCTTGCTATTTTTCCACATTGCTAGATCAATACATGTCCTTGAATTTTTTCAAACCATTTAAATAAAATTACAGAGAGAGCTTAAACAGACTGATGCACTCCCTGTGAAGCATGCATAACTCAAACTTCTATCTTGCTTTTAGGCCAGTAACCACTCATTATTTTTGTTGCCCAGTATTTTGACCGAAGGCCAGAACAAGGCCTCAACCATGTACAACTCTCTTCTCGATGCAGCCCTGCAAATTTGCCTTTGTACATGATGCATTAGTTGACATTGCCCAGAGCACACGTCAAATGGGTGAGACTGAAGGTGGGAAAACATAAGCTCTTGCAGAGAATCTCCTCTTAACGTTCTTAGACAATCGAATCCTCGTAATTTACATCATGGTAGTACAACTCAGACCACACAACAGCATGCTTCACCGGGAGCACACACACCTTACTTGCCAGGAACGAAGTTGGTGGCAAATGCCCAGGCATTGTTGTTGACGGGGTCGGCAAGGTGGTCAGCGAGGTTCTCGAGTGGACCCTTGCCGGTGACGATGGCTTGCACGAAGAAGCCGAACATGGAGAACATGGCGAGGCGACCGTTCTTGATCTCCTTAACCTTAAGCTCGGCGAATGCCTCAGGGTCGTCGGCAAGGCCAAGCGGATCAAAACTGCCGCCCGGGTAGAGTGGGTCGACGATCTCACCGAGTGGTCCACCGGCAACGCGGTAGCCCTCGACGGCGCCCATGAGCACGACCTGGCAAGCCCAAATGGCAAGGATACTTTGCGCGTGCACAAGGCTTGGGTTGCCGAGGTAGTCAAGGCCGCCCTCGCTGAAGATCTGGGATCCGGCCTTGAACCAAACAGCCTCACCAAACTTAACGCCGTTGCGGGCGAGTAGCTCGGGGAAGATGCAACCGAGCGCGCCAAGCATGGCCCAACGGCAGTGGATCACCTCGAGTTCCCGGTTCTTGGCGAAGGTCTCGGGGTCAGCCGACAGACCAGCGGTGTCCCACCCGTAGTCGCCGGGGAACTCACCGGTCAGGTAGCTCGGGGGCTCACCAGAAAGCGGGCCCAGGTAGAGCACGCGGTCAGAGCCGTACCACGGGCTACTAGAGGTAACCTGCTTGGCCTTTGCCGCCGTCTTGCGCATGGTGACGCGAGCCTCCCCAAAAAGAGATGATGATGGCAAGTTCTTCACTGCCTTGCCGGCGAAGGCTGGGGAAGAGAGTGACATGGTGGTTGCGGCCATTCTGATTGACTAGGTTCTGTGTTGTTCTCCAAGAATGAGGAGTGAGTGTGGAGATGGCTTGAGAGGATTGGAGCAGGGGGCTTCTTAAGGCAGAGGACGGAGAGAGGGAATCGACCGTTGTAGGCTGATAGGAGAGAGGTGCAGAGCAAGAAATCTGTATTTTGGATGTCATTGGTGCAGAGTGAGAGCCACAAGGAGATCAGATATACTTTTGGATCTTGTGGATATGGCTAGCCGGGAATCTCCTTAGAGAGCAGTGATTGGATGACACGTGAGCACGCCATGTATTTCCCCCCAAAAGGACATTATAGGATATCCATTCTTGCAACCAAGGATGGCCACCGCATTTGGTGAGCAAATTTCTATTTGACTGACTGTACATTTTACTGACATAATTGGATATCCCATTATACTTCTGATCTTATCTGAAATAGAAACGGAGACACGCTCATGCATGTGCGTCCATGCTACTGCTAGCAGCATCGAGCAGAGCATACGGCAAATACAAGCTAGCAGCGGGAAGAAACATACCATGATCATCGCACATGATCATACCTATTGAAAAGATGGACCGATAAAATGATACTCCCTCCGTTTCATATTAGTTGTCGCTCAAACAGATGTATATAACACTGAAATACGTCTAAATACATATGTTTCAGTGGCAATTAATATGTAACTATCCAAAACAATTATACAAAAGGCATATGTATCAAACTTTCTTCCCTATTAGTTTTATTACCATAGTCATAATGTGCATAATATGTTACCAATGGAAAATTTTCTTTTTGATACCACGAAAACACATTTTCATAACACATAAAGTTCTTAATAATATGATTTTAAAATTAGATTGTTCTAACCTTAAATATAATTATCCATACTAAAAATGTTGTCCACGCACTTGCTCGGCCACACAATTGATCTCTCTTTTTTTCTAAAAGAGTCGAACTCTCTGGACTTCTTTTGCCTCGCTCCTAGTTTCAGAAACAAAGCATGCAAATTTCGACTTAGACCAGCACCATAGTAGTTGAGTGACTGTCCAGGTGTCTGGTGATGAATTTATCATATGTCGAATGGTTTGGTTTCCTTATTCGAAAGAGAAAGCCAGAAAGGCAATGCCTCCGGGCTCGGCTCAGATAACTGCCGTTTGTTCATCCTCCAAGATCAAAGATTATTGCTCCCTTAACTGTTTATACATTCAGCTATCAGATAGTACATGCTCTTTAAAATTGGTGTTATCCTACAAAAACGATGAAATTATCTGTTTCTGAAGGTTTGGCATCACACCCTATGCTATTTTTCCACATTGCTAGATCAACACTTGTGTTGGATCTTTCCAAACCATAAAATAAAATTCCAGAGAGATCTCAAACAGACCGATGCACTCCTGTGAAGCGTGCATAACTCAAATTCCTATCTTGCTTTTAGGCCAGAAACCACTGATCATTTTTGTTGCCCGGTATTTCGACAGAAGGCCTGAACAACGCCTTGATCATGTACCACTGTCTTCTCGATGCAGCCCGGCAATTTTGCCAATGTATATGATGCATAAGTTGCCGTCGCCCAAAGCACAACACGGTAGAGGTGTTACACAAATGCGAACCCAACGTATTCGTTCAGATGATCATGTCAAATGGGTGAGATCGAAAGTGGGAAAACATAAGTTGCCGTCGCCCAAAGCACAACACGGTACAGGTGTTACACAAATGCGAACACAACGTATTCGTTCAGATGATCATGTCAAATGGGTGAGATCGAAAGTGGGAAAACATAAGTTGCCGTCGCCCAAAGCACAACACGGTACAGGTGTTACACAAATGCGAGCACAACGTATTCGTTCAGATGATCATGTCAAATGGGTGAGATCGAAAATGGGAAAACATAAGATTTTGCACAGAAACCTCACAATTTTTTCAGATAATCAAATCCTCGTAATTTACATCATGGTAGTACAACTCAAACAGCTAACAAAACACTTCACCGCAAGCGTGCGCGCACACACACCTTACTTGCCGGGAACGAAGTTGGTGGCAAATGCCCAAGCGTTGTTGTTGACGGGGTCGGTGAGGTGGTCAGCGAGGTTTTCGAGTGGACCCTTACCGGTGACGATGGCTTGCACAAAAAAACCAAACATGGAGAACATGGCAAGGCGACCATTCTTGATCTCCTTAACCTTGAGCTCGGCGAATGCCTCAGGGTCGTCGGCAAGGCCGAGTGGGTCGAAGCTACTGCCCGGGTAGAGCGGGTCAACAATCTCACCGAGCGGTCCACCGGCAATGCGGTAGCCCTCGACAGCGCCCATGAGCACAACCTGACAAGCCCAGATGGCAAGGATACTCTGGGCGTGCACAAGGCTTGGGTTGCCGAGGTAGTCGAGGCCGCCCTCGCTGAAGATCTGGGAACCGGCCTTGAACCAAACAGCCTCGCCGAACTTCACACCGTTGCGGGCAAGCAGCTCGGGGAAGACACAACCGAGTGCGCCAAGCATGGCCCAACGGCAGTGGATCACCTCCAGCTCACGGTTCTTGGCAAAGGTCTCGGGATCGGCCGACAGCCCAGCGGTGTCCCAGCCGTAGTCGCCAGGGAACTCACCAGTGAGGTAGCTCGGGGGCTCACCAGAAAGTGGGCCGAGGTAGAGCACGCGGTCAGAGCCATACCACGGGCTGCCAGAGGCAACCTGCTTGGCCTTTGCCGCTGTCTTGCGCATGGTGACGCGGGCATCCCCGAAAAGAGAAGATGATGGCAAGTTCTTCACTGCCTTGCCGGCAAAGGCTGGAGAAGAGAGTGACATGGTGGTTGCGGCCATTCTGATCGATGGAGGTCCTACGTATTCTGTATTCTGTTCTCCAAGAATGAGGAGTGGGTGTGGAGATGGCTTGAGATGATCGGAGCCGGGGGCCTCTTAAGGCAGTGGAAGGACAGAAGGAATTGAACAGAGAGAGGTGCGGAGCAGGAAATCTGTATCTTGGATGGCATTGGTGCAGAGAGACCGCGAGAGCCACAGAAAGATCAGATATACCTGTGGCTATGGCTAAGCTGGGAATCTCCTTGGAGAACGGTGATTGGCTTACACGCTGATGCACGTGAGCATGTCATGACTTCCTCCCCAAAAGGGAAAGATGTGAAATCCATTTGTTGCAGCGAATGAACATGCCACCACAACCATTGAGCAAACACGTAGTGGATGCTATTCCTCATTGACTGCTGTGTATAAAAGCAGATATGCTCATGCATGTGCCTCGATGCTATACGAAATTTGTTCAAAAATAGATGATGTATATAGTCCGTATTATTCCCTAAGGCCTCTTTTGGTTCATAGGATAGGATTATCGTAGGAATAGGAATTTTGTAAGAAATGAGATGACATGTATCTCAAACCCTATGAGTAGGAATAGAAAAACGAGATGTCATTTGGTTGACACCAAACGAATTTTTCCATTGAGTCTAGGCTTATTTTTATTTTCCTATAAAATATGGAGGATAGGAACCAATCCTATGTAGGAATATGAATCCATTCATATGAACCAAAGGGCTCTAAAGGAAAAAAAACTATAAAAATCCTATGCTCTAAAATTCCTCCAAACAAAAGGAGGCCTAACTCTAATCATTGATATATGCCCAAATCAGTGAAATCAGTTTTAAATTTGTGATGAAAAGTTAACTTTTGAAATCAATAAATTCGGTTTCATTCTACGAGCACAATACAAAGGAGCTAAGAGACAAAGTGTTATTTGTAAATTCTCATAAAAAATATCTAGCCCTTGATTCAGTGACCCCTCATAGTTAAGTATAGCTTTTAACGGCTTGGATTAAAGTAATTTCTTCTTGCCTGGCTCGAAAGCATAAATTTTTAACACAATTTATACTCCCTCTGATGCATATTAGTTATCGCTCAAACAGATGTATTTAGCACTAAAATACGTCTAGATATATCGATTCAGCGACAAATATGGATAGGAGGGAAGTAGTATTATTTGTTTTTATATACGTCTAGATATATTGGTTCTTCTGCGTACGGCGGAGCTGAGGAAGAACACCATGGTCCATGGGCACCACCCGATCTTGTGCGCGACGCCGTGCTGCAGGGGCTGCTCGGCCACGCCCTGCACGACGAAGAGGAAGGTGGCCACGTCTACGACGCAGCTCGACGACGCGACCTGGTCTCCTGGCGCGATGCCTAGGAAGGCGGCCACTTTGACTCCCATGACGCCGCCGGCGAGGATGGCGTCGAACGCCGACCACCACGTGTACGTGTCACCCGACGGTGCACACATGCTTGGCGACGGAGAAGAATCAGCCACAACGGAGTTCGACCGGAGATAGGAAGAAGTAAAGGGCGCACACGACCTGTTCGATGAAATTCCCATGGAGGAAAAGAGGAAGAAATAGAAAGAAAATGTAAAAATAAATAAATAGTGGAGTCATTCACAGGTGGGGCCCTCGTCCAACTCAGCATATTGTCCATGTAATCACGCCATGTCAGCCCGGCATGCAGGCCCTACCTGTCGGTTTGGCTGTTTTCGCAACCAAATTCGAGTGTCGATGTTCTGTGTTACTGGTTAGGCGTGGAGTTGGTGGTTTTTTGTGCCCTGGCGCAAATGTGGTACCAAGTTGCTACTCTAACCTTAAGTGTGGTGGTTTTGGGTAAATAACTTAATCTAAGTTATCGTCCGATCAACTCCACCTAGGATATCCTTTTGCTTAGAACCTCCTCTTAACATTGTTTCTTTTCATGGAAAACAGCCCCGCTATATTCACTTCTTTGAGGATTGACTTCTTTTTCCTCTAAAAAAGAATGATAAACAAAAATGTTAGGGAGTAATATAAATTCGAGAGTTGATTTTTATCTTCATATAACAATTACGGGCTGGTAGAACAGCGTTACAAACGCGATATGAATTGGATGATTTAATAGCTTCCAACATTTTAGTATACTAACATGCATCTGCAACGAAATAAGTCAATCAACATCACACTACCTATGTGAACTGACTACAACCTAGGGATAATCTTGAAGGTCGTTCAATTCTGCAATGGCTCTTCATTTTGCACCAGAGCTAACACACTGATAATGCACTTTACAGGCAGACACTACTACGCAAGAATCCGGTGAAATCCCTTGGTGATATTCCAGCTCGTGTCTTTTCCCAGCCAATTCCCAAGAGACTCTTGATCCAATCCAATCCTATAGTACAATAGACATGTCCATCGTGTGACATTATTAACTAGTGTATATTTTATTAGTTACCAAACTAACTACATGGCCATGTTGCCAAATGCTAATAATATCAGTACTTGTTATGAAGCTACAACATTTTTGATAACAAAATACGCTTGCGCCATGCTAAATTTAAACATTTTGTCACAAAACATACATCATTTTCTTTTTGTCTTCGAGTCAAATTTAATTGAAAGATCTTTGAAATAAATTTGTATAAAAAACATGCTTCCACGGATTGATTTGTGACACTTGAATCAGTGAAAGTATAAATATATATGTACTTGTTCTTCTAAACTTGAACTTGTTTCTCTCTAGAGATTTCTAAAGCGAAGAAAAAAATTGTAACAAATGTTTTGGTAGTGGTTTCTAGTTATATGTTTAAGTATAAGAAAATAGAGAACTCTAGATTATATAAGGTGTTTAAGAGGAGTGTCGAACTTTTGGTTATGCGTGTCAATTGTTCTAGTAAATAATTTACATAAAACGTTCAACCGTCTACGGAAGACATGTTTTAAGTAAATGTGAGACCAACGCATTCGTTCAAATGATCACGTCAAATGTCTATATCAATGTGGAGCGTTAGATGGAAGGCGAGCAAATCGTGTAATGCTTTTGCAAAGAATCCTCATAATTTACAACATGGTAGTACAAATTAGACCGCACCATAGTACACTTCATCGCGAGCATAGTCTCTAGGACAGCTTATTTCCCAGGAACAAAGTTGGTGGCGAATGCCCAAGCATTATTGTTGACAGGGTCAGAGAGGTGGTCAGCGAGGTTCTCGAGTGGACCCTTGCCAGTGACGATGGCTTGCACAAAGAAACCGAACATGGAGAACATGGCAAGGCAACCGTTCTTGATCTCCTTAACCTTGAGCTCGGCGAATGCCTCGGGGTCGTCGGCAAGGCCAAGCGGGTCGAAGCTGCCACCCGGGTAGAGCGGGTCGACGATCTCACCGAGTGGTCCGCCAGCAATGCGGTAACCCTCGACGGCGCCCATGAGCACGACCTGACACGCCCAGATGCCAAGGATGCTTTGTGTGTGCACGAGGTTGGGTTGCCAAGGTAGTCGAGACCGCCCTCACTGAAGATCTGGGATCCAGTCTTGAACCAAACAGCCACACCAAACTTAACGCCGTTGCAGGCGAGCAACTCGGGGAAGACACAACCAAGCGCGCCAAGCATAGCCCAGCGGCAGTGAATCACCTCCAGCTCACGGTTCTTGGCGAAGGTCTCGGGGTCAGCCGATAACCCAGCAGTGTCCCAGCCGTAGTCATCAGGGAACTCACCGGTGAGGTAGCTCGGGGGCTCGCCAGAAAGCGGACTGAGGTAGAGCACACGGTCAGAGCCGTACCACGGGCTGCCAGAGGCAACCTGCTTGGCCTTTGCCGCTATCTTGCGCATGGTGACGCGATGGCAGGTTCTTCACTGCCTTGCCGGCAAAGGCTCGGGAAGAGAGTGACATGGTGGTTGCAGCCATTCTGATCGATGGAGGTTCCGTGTGTTCTCCAAGAATGAGGAGTGGGTGTGGAGATGGCTTAAGAGGATCGGGGCAAGGGGCTTCTTAAGGTAGTGGACGGGCAGGGGAAATTGAACTGGTGTAAGCTGACAGGAGAGAGAGGTGTATAGCAAGAAATTTGTATCTTGGATGTCATTGGTGCAGAGAATCTCTTTAGATAACTGTGATTGGATGACATGCCCATATATGCACGTGAGCATGCCAAGTATTTCCCTCTAAAAGGACAATATTGGATATCCATTCTTGCTGCCAAGGAATATCACCGCACTTGTTCAGCAAATTTCTATTTGACTGACTGTACATTTTACTGACATCGTTGTGTATACCGTTATGCATCTGGTCTTATTATCTGAAATAGAAACGGGGACATGCTCATGCATGTTGGTCCATTCTAGCAACATCGATCCAGACTCCAGAGCATACGACAAAGACAAGCTAGCAGCCGGAAGAAACATAACATGATCGTCGGATATGACCATACCTATTGCACCATCACCCAAATCAACGAAAAAAGGCTGCATCAACATTGATTTTTGCAATGTCCTTGTTGGGCCTAAGCCAAACCTCTCATTATATATTTGAACATTTCATGGAAATTTTGTAAATTCTTAAATCGCTTCTTGAAATTTATTTTATTTGTTTATGCAAAATAATTCATGTTCACGAACTAAGCATAGTTTACATAGTTAGTTTCTTTGTGTTGGAAACAACCCACTTGGGTTTAAGTCCTAAACTTGGCATGACCACTCAAATATTTTGTAAATTTATTTCAAGTTTTTCGTCGTGATTCCGTGTATGATGTGTTCATATGGATGAGTGTGTGTGGTGTGGTGAGCATCTGTGTTTACATTATGTTTCTAAAAAAACATGTTTTCAAAATCTAATATAAGCATTTTCACATGAATGACACAACTCATGCGTTTTGTGGAGAGATACAGTAGTTAACTCAACACTTTCCACGTTGATCTTACACACATTTGTAATTATTAAGCTTAAAACACGTTTATTTATTAAGAGTGTGTTTTATATTTTCCTAGTTTCTACAATTGCACCTTCACAAGGGTTTTCAAATCTATCATGGGAAAATCGACATTCTTGCAAATTATTAATTTCAGAATCTAGGTAGATTCTTTTGTTGAAGTATATGATCATTTCACATGAATGATATCGAGCATGTTTTTGATATATTATGGCAATTATCATGTATCATATGAAATTTTTAGTTAATAATGGTGTGCTTGTAGATCTAGTAGATGAACATAATGACAAATTGTGGTTTCTTATCTGTAAGAATAGACAGGGCAAATGAAGGAAATATGCCCTAGAGGCAATAATAAAGTTATTATTTATTTCCTTATAATCATGATAAATGTTTATTATTCATGCTAGAATTGTATTAACCGGAAGCATAATACATGTGTGAATACATAGACAAACAAAGTGTCACCAGTATGCCTCTACTTGACTAGCTCGTTAATCAAAGATGGTTATGTTTCCTAACCATGAACAAAGAGTTGTTATTTGATTAACGAGGTCACATCATTAGTTGAATGATCTGATTGACATGACCCATTCCATTAGCTTAGCACCCGATCGTTTAGTATGTTGCTATTGCTTTCTTCATGACTTATACATGTTCCTATAACTATGAGATTATGCAACTCCCGTTTACCGGAGGAACACTTTGGGTACTACCAAACGTCACAACGTAACTGGGTGATTATAAAGGAGTACTACAGATGTCTCCAAAGGTACATGTTGGGTTGGCGTATTTCGAGATTAGGTTTTGTCACTCCGATTGTTGGAGAGGTATCTCTGGGCCCTCTCGGTAATGCACATCACATAAGCCTTGCAAGCATTACAACTAAGATGTTAGTTGTGAGATGATGTATTACGGAACGAGTAAAGAGACTTGCCGGTAACGAGATTGAACTAGGTATTGAATACCGACGATCGAATCTTGAGCAAGTAACATACCGATGACAAAGGGAACAACTGTAACGCCCTCGATGCGGCTATAGCTCCCACGTGTCGAGGCACGACTTAGAGACATAACCGCGTTGAAAGCAATGTCGCAAGTCAGGCAATCATTACAACATCCCATGTAATATATAATAAAAGGGGGAGATAACATAGTTGGCTTACACTCGCCACGTCACATCAGAGTACATAAATAACATCCATCAAACAAACACTCATGGCCCGACTATGGCGCCAAAATAGAAAAGAACCCAACGTGCGACAAGGCCCTGAATCGATAACCCCAACTAGGCACCACTACTGATCATCCGGAAAAGACACGTAGTATCGCTGAGAGTCCTCGTCGAACTCCCACTTGAGCTCGTAATCGTCAACTGGAGCAGAAACACCTGGACCTGCATCTGGAGTTGTAGTATCTGTGAGCCACAGGGACTCAGCAATCTCGCACCCTCGCGATCAAAACTATTTAAGCTCATAGGAATGGATAAGGCAAATATATGTGGAGCTGCAGCAAGCGACTAGCATATGTGGTGGCTAACTTATACGCAAAAGAGAGCGAGAAGAGAAGGCGAAGCACGAGCGAGAAACTAAGGAACATCCTGCGCAAGCATAACTCCAACTCCGTGTCCACTTCCCGAACTCCGCCGAGAAGGGGCCATCACGGTAACACACACGGTTGATTCATTTTAATTGAGTTTAGTTAAAGTTATCTACAACCGGACATTAACAAATTCCCATCTGCCCATAACCGCGGGCACGGCTTTCGAAAAATCAATCCCTGCAGGGGAGTCCCAACTTAGCCCATGACAAGCTCTCACGGTCAACGAAGGAATAGACCTCCTCCCAAGATGTTCCGATCAGACTCGGTATCTCGGTAACTCAAGACACTTCGACAGGTTAAAACAAGACCAGCAACACCGCCCGAATGTGCCGACAAATATCGATAGGAGCTGCACATATCTCTTTCTCAGGGCACACTCAGATTATCCTAGGTACGGGTAGGCCAGCCCAGAGTTGCCCCTGGTAGCCACCGGTAACTGACAGGTGGAC